AAGAGTGTCACATTTTATCTTTAAAAGTAAAGCTCAAATTGATGACTGCAACAAATCTCTAAAGTTTACTTTGTGCAGCAGTACTTATTTATAAATTTGAGATTGGGATTATTCTGCAGCAAGACAGGCAAGTGACATGATAGTTACTGCCTTAAAATATGGGTAAACTCTTCAGAAGGGAGAGCATCATTTCTAGCTGGTTGCTCATCTCTACAGAAAAAGCTGCCTTTTTAGAGGTAGCTTTGTTTTCCTCCCACAACCTCAGTGGAAGTTCTTTAGTCTTTTCTGATACACAAAAAAAAAGGCTGCAAAAATTCAGACTTTGCATTGGTAATTTAAGGTCTGTCTAACCTGTCTTTCAAGGCAGGTATTTGTACTATTAAGAATCTGTAGGAAAGTCTCAGACTCAAGACAGTGACACCTGAAGGAAGCACAACTAGCTTCTTGCACACCTCTCAGCTTCCTCCAGCAGTGCTGTCTAGACTCCCAAGCTCTACCTCTGCCTCCTCCTAGCAGAGTCCTACAACACAGACACTAACACAATTATGCTGAGCCTCTGTGCTTGCCTAGAGCAGAAGCCAGCAGCACAGCCTCCACAACAGCTGGGGCTTTCACTTCTCTTCCAGGCAGAAGTGACTGCGGTTTTTAGCTGCCACTTAACTGCAAATGAGCACAACTATCAAAACAGCCTCCTAGTTGTAAGATTAAAAACATTGAAGCACAACTCATCTATCAAGGTGCTGCCATGAGCTAAGTTCTGGGAACAGCAGACTGGCATTTCACTAAGACATAAGCTGAAGAATGGCACAAGACACTAGATCACGCCTTTTTTATTTCAAAAGCTAGGATAGCTTCAATATCCATGTCATGGTGAATCAGAACACATGTAAAATACCTTACAATACATTAGATTCCAAAAAGGTACCAAAAAGTACAGTAAAATTAACACTTCCATTCCAGGAAATGTATGACACAAAAACAATACAAAATAAAAAGGTGGAAAGTGACACTGGTTCCCTAAGATGCATCTCATTCTGTACAACTGGAGTAATGCAGAGTCCATAGTTAACTCCAAGAGGCAGTCCCTAGATGCAGAGCTGCAGCTTTAAGCAGACCCTCAAAATCAGTTTCAGTTTAACCTATTAATAAAATCATTAATTAATACCTTCAGCAAGGCTGAAATTTACACACCACACTGTCTAGACAACTAGTTATCTGTAAGTATTCAACATGTAAAACATTTCCAGGGAGCTCTTCCAAGTAAGATGCACATTTAACAGGCCATAGAAATTTATTGTAAAGTTAAATTTGGTACAGAACTGAAATATCCATCTACAGCATTGTATACAAAACCTATGCAGTCATTTTCCAAAAGAGACCATGCCACTGCATACCTGAATAAGTTTGATCAATATGGCTTGTAGTTATTCTGATGACCACCACGTCTTGGTGTCTTCCCATAATTTGCACTGCCTTGACCTATGAACAAGAACACAAATGCATTAAACTGCTAATTAGGTACGTTTGCTTATACCCAATACAGTTCTCTTTACTTACTGTAATCATAGCCTGGTCCATATCCATAATACCCATATCCTGAATAATCATAGCCTCCATAGCCACCATAACCTTGCTGATAGCCGTATCCTTGATTCCCATAACCCTGGTTCCAGTAATTGCCATAACCTTGATTCCAATTTTGACTTTGAGCTATAGAAGGGAAAACCATCCACAAAATCCCATTTTAGTACACACAACTTATGTAGAATGTGTCCATACTAAAGTAGTGTGTGTGGTACTCACCGCCGCCTCTTCCGCCTCTGCCTCTTCCTCCATAGCTGCCTCTTCCTCCACCACTACTGAACTGCTGCTGCTGGTAAACTTCTTTTGGCTGTGCTACTTTAATCTCACACTGAAAATAAGAAACAAGGAATAGTGTGTGTACTGTCTCATGGCAGCAGCACCTAACCTAAGCACCTAAGAAAGCCAGAGGTGACTCGAGGCAAAGGAGGATCCAGGCTGTGTTCCATCATGTGACCCAGACTAATGCATATCCAGAAACATCAGATTAATTGTGCCACCTGGGCAGAGGAAAGACTGCTGACCACTCTAAGCAGGCCACTGCTTTCTGAGTATTTTATACTGCCAGCTCCCTACTATCAGCTTCCCCCATGGAAAAGACAGGTAAGTCACTATTGGCCATACAAAACAGGCCACTGCTGTCAGAGTGTTTCATAGTGCCTGTTTTTTGTCAGCTCTGCAATGGAGGGGGTGCTGAGGCCACCTTAGTGCAGCCACCACTCCTGGGAGTCACAAGGCTGCCTTCTGTCCTGGCCCAACCTCCAAGACAAGGCTGTAGCTACTGCACTGCTTCCCCTGAGCTGCACAGAATGGAAAAGGCTCTGAGAAATGCAGCAGGACACATGCTCCTGGCAGCCTTCACACACCCTCTACACTGAGCATCTGTGCTGGACTGTGAAGTACACTTACCAACACTTGGAAGTCATCACTTAAATAGTAAGAACAACTAAAAGCAACCAGAAAGTGGTATTTCCAAGACAGGTTCCTAAGCTGCAGTTCAAGCTGTGAGCCAGCTTCCTAGTTCCTGACTCTGCACAGTCAGAGAAGAAAGCTACTGATGCTGTGAAAGGAACAATGCCCCGTGATGGCAATATCTCAGCAAGCCTGGCTTGGAATTCTTCACACAGGAGCTTGAAGGTAACCTGCTCTTTTTATTATCACTATGACACAAAACCAAGCCATAGTTACACGATAATCAGATACAGATTTCTCAGCTCCTAGACATTCATCTCTCCTAAAAACAAACAAAAGCTACCAGTGCCTTAGAGTTGCCAAAGTTTATTCTGTACTGCCAAGACCAGCCTTAGACTAAGTGAGTTAGACAGTGTGACCAGATCTAGTAGGACTTTGAAGTTGGGATACGGTCAGCACTGGCCATGCAGCAGGGGAAGAGGGACACTTCCAGCCAGCACACATCATTTGCCTCCAGTCCTCCTCTTAGCTTGACACATGAGCCCCTATCAGCCATCCTCCCAGATGAGCAGCCAGCTGTGCAGGGCATCTTTTATAGAAGTTCACATCACCAGCTCACCAAGTTGCCATAAACAAACATCTCCCCTCTGGATCCTTGTATTGAGTTTATGTGACAAGGTTTTGGTACCAAGGGGGGGGCTTCTGAGAGAAGAAACCAGAAGCTGCCCTATGACACACAGAGCCAGTCTCAGCCAGCTGCTTACAAAGACAGCACCTGTAAGCTTTGAATTCATGTGTGTGCTCTATGCTGAAAGCAGGTATGTACCTGTTGAAATGGCTTATATTGCCAGATTGATAAATAATCCAATTTTCCCACATGTATTTAATGAACACAACTAAGATACTTTACATACAAAAGCCCCCTACTACATAGCAGGTCTTAAACCCAGAAGTATTGGCAAAGAACCTTGATGGCCTCTGCAACTGAACTTATGGCAAAAAACATAACCCTGTGATAAACTGCCAGCTGTCTCAGTAGTAATTTGGGTACCCTGAAATCAGAGGTCTACAAGATCTTTTCAGATAGTTGTAATAGTATTATGATTGAGAACTTGGACAAAAATGTACAAGTCAAAGTTTCTACCTTGCTTCCACTGACGTTATGGAATTTCTTCTCCAAAACCTTCTTCACTGGATCCTCTTCCTTGAAAGTGATGAACACGAACCCCCTCCTTTTGTTGGTCTTTGGATCCATTGGAAGTTCAATTGCTTCAATCTGAAGACATTAAATACTATTTTCAGACTTGTATTTCAGCAGAACAATTAAGTGCATATCATTTGAGACAGCAAAGCAGAAACTAAGTTTCATACCTATGCATATCATGCAACATCAATGTTGCAATACTCTTCCTATACTACCACTGGCTTTCAGACAAGAGGTTTCAATTTTACAGCTCTTAAAAGCAATTTTAATGTGAGATAAAATTATCCAAGTTAAAAAAAAGGGCTTCAACTAGCAATGGAAGCATCTGGGTGTAGTATGTGTCTTCCTTGCTCTCAAGATGGAAAGCCTCTGGATCAGTTACAGAAGGCTTGATACATATTAAGTTAATGTGCAACTTGCAAATTATTAGTAAACTAGACAATTGGAGACTACATGTTTAAGTGTTTACTAAGATAACATTACAGACCTCTCCAAATTCTCCGAAGTATTCCCTGATTTTCTCTTCTGTGGCTTCTGGGTTTAGTCCACCAACAAATATTTTCTTCACTGGATCCTTTTTCATTGCCATGGCCTTCTTGGGGTCAATTAGTCGGCCATCTAGCCTGTGTTCTTTCTGTTCCAGAACCTGAAAAATAGTTTGACAGGATTAACTCAAGCTGAAAAGTTTCCCCTAGAAGTCAAGAATCTGAAATATGAATCTTAAATTTACCTTTTCAACACTCCCAGGTTCTTTGAAGAGAATAAATCCAAAGCCTCTGGATCTTCCTGTGTTAGGGTCCATCTTTATCGTGCAGTCGGTTACCTCACCAAATTTGGTGAAGTAATCTTTCAAGTCTTTTTTGCTTGTATCCCAACTGAGGCCACCCACAAACATCTTCCTGAAATTCCAAAGACATAAGAGCTATTTAGATTCAGGAAGTACTAAGGAAAAGCACAAGATGCTGACTGGTATACAGCTCAGCAGCATTGTCAGAAAACAGGACCAACTGCTAAAAGGTGAACACTTCTGCATCTGGCCAGAAGCCAGTGATGCTACACGAGTGTACAAAGGTGGGTTCTCCCTCTCTTTTTGAAGGAATGACACAGTGAAACCTGAAGTTTATTACAGAATATAGAAACAGTAAAAATTGCCTAGAATATTCCTTGCCAATAACTTACAATTCTTTCAACAGGCTTCTGTTATTTGCCACAAAGCAGTATTGATTATCAAGTACTGCCAATTATGGTTTTTTTAAAAGAACCTACCTTCATTTGTACTGCTTTGAAAGCATTCAAGCTAGAGTAAGGCATCAAAAGCCAAAATACTTGAGCTTTTTTAGGATTTGGAAAAATGGCTGTAATTCTTAGGACTAAAATTTTTATCTACAGAATTTAAATCAGGTATCTATGACGTCCAAGAAAAGTCACACACAACAGATGGGACTTTGGACCTGCCTTAACTATTATGTTGAGCACTTCTTCCTGCTTAGCTACCAAACCTAGTTCTATCTTCATCAACACTACAGGAGTATCTCCACTGTTAGTCTTTACATTTTTCATGAGGCCAAGCAAGTACTTCTCTGCCCACTTCCCCACATAAAGTATCCTCTGAAGCATCTCAAAGAACACTGATGAAGCACCAATACAGAAGTGAAGCTAACAAACACAACTAAGGTCAGTCAATAAGGCACTTTTCAAATGAAATGAAAATGAAAACATGGCTGTATTTTCCATTTGCAGAGTTTCCAAGTGTAACAAACAAGCTTTTAAAAGCATTCAAGCCTTTTTGATCTAACTCTATAGACTAAAGCAGTCTAAGTTGTCATTACTGTTTAAAGGCAACCTAGATTTGGCAATAGAAGCTCATAGCACTTCAGAAATTAGACTATGTTTAATTAAATTGGCTTTTGGTGTTTATGTGCAACTGATTTGCTAGAACTAGCATCTGTTTGTGTTCAAAAGGCAACACGAGTAAAAAGAAATGGTAGGTACTATTGTTTTTCCCTTACACAGGATGAAAACAAAGCCTTTGTAGGTTAAACCCCTTTTTTTTTTCATCAGATTGAGCTGTGCACTCTTGACAAGTGCAGCATGATACACTGGGTCCAAATTAAGTCTGTGCTTCTTGCAGCCATTACAATAGAGCCTCACAGCAAAGACTTTTTATGAAGTTTACTAAGCCTTTCAGTGACAGGTGAAAGAAAGGAAACTTGATGGATTCCTTCTCACAACAGCTTACTGACCAAGCACAACTCCTATAATCTGTACAGACAGGGCAAACCCTGCCATCATTGACTACACTTGGTGTGATCAAGAGAAACTCAATCGTTGGGGGATGACAGGAATTTGTCTGGAGGCAGCTTTAGCTGCTTTATGCCACCATCATGGGACTGAGGTGCACACAGATATTGCCACATGTTAATTCACCTCTTAACCAAGCAGTAGATAGCTCACTTTGCAATTTACAGTCCTTTGTTTTGTATTTGAAATGATTGATACCTACATAGCAATTCAGAGCCTTTGAAATTAAGACCAACGGCCTGGTATTCAGCATTGCCTTCAGAGGCCACATAAAATGGGCAACAGCACTCTCAATATGTAGTCTCTTCTTTTCCTCCCGAGTGTATTAGTGCAGCTAAATCAAAGCATGTTTCAGCTCCTAACAAAATACTATAATGTCAACAAGCCAAACTGTGCCTTGGACTGCTCTTCTTATCACAGTGCTCAATTTCCACACAGGTAAATCCCTTTAAATAACTGCTTTTCTTTCATTTCACAAGGATTCGGGGTTTAAACTTGACACCTCTTAAGTGAGAAAGTATCACCCACTTTTTTTTATTAGTATTTTTGCCCTGAAAAAGTAAAAAGAAAATTCATGCACAGCTAAAAGGCCTTGTTTTCAGTCCCAGTGTCTGCAAGAGGCACATCCGGCCCTAGTTTGTAGGAAACTTGTGCAAGTTCTATTCCTTCCCTTACAGCCAAAATCTATCACGGTACTGTGGTTTCAGCTCTCTTTTTAACCTAAGGGATCTGACCCTCCGTTTCTGGGCCCAGAGATAACAAAGGGAGTTCTCATTAAATACATGGGGCAGCCTGAATAACAAAGAGCCGCCTGAGAAACAGGCAGGTAATTTCCAAATCAAGCTCTTCTATTGGTAGACAGACTCAACTATAATAGGAAAGAAAACACTCTGGTGGACTAGGATGCCACTGCAAAAATAACAGCGAAACTACACTGACTCCTCGGGAAAAACCCGCGAGAAATAAGCCCTTTTCTGACAATGCTGCTAAGAACCACGCCAAAATCGCTCTTACTGCTCAAACACACGGCCTCGATCACGCTGTTTTCCCTTTACTCTCTCCAAAACCACTCGGCGCACCCCGACGAGCTCCCAGAAGCGGGATTATTTCTTTACACGCACAACACAAACCACGGCCGCGGCGATGGCCGCGCCATCCCCGAAAAGTTTGAACCAGCCCGCCCTCCACCCCAGAAAGAAAACAACTCCTTCCCGTCGCTAAAACGGGAAAGGAGGAGGCAAACGCGGGACGCGCAGCCAGCCGAGGTAAATCCCCCTTCCATTTTACAGCGTGAGACGGCAACAAACCCGCTCCCGCCCCTCCCCCCGCCGCCA